TGCTAAAAAGCTCTGAGTGGTTGCCTTGTAATCTTAATGAGAAATCAGCATTTGTGCCCTGAAGATGAATCAAATAAAATAACAGAAAAATCTTGGTATCAAGCACTCCACTGGGTCATATAATTAAAAGGTATTAATCTTTATCATGCCCTATAATGTAGCTAGAATCACTCATGTAATTGTTCACTAAAGTGAATTAAATCGGTTTACACACAAGAATGTCAAATTACTATACAACATATTAGGTACATAGATAGCTTGTGACTGATAGTAAAGTTCTTTAATGCAATCCATTCTTTTAAATGGCATCACAAGCGTGGGCTGACTAGAGAAAAAATATATAAAAACATCTATAAAAAAATTTTTTAACATGTGCCCCCACCATTGCCCATCCCCACGATGTCTGCATGATGTCACTGGTCCTTGTTCGAAGCCAGTTTGTCCTGTCCCTAACTAATGTCATTAGCTCTTTGAAATTATTTACATGATGCACTGTATTAGATCAACATATATTATTTTGTTGTAACAGTGAATATCATAATTTCACTTAATAATGCACTTACCATATCAGCATCACTGACTAGGATCTGTAGAGGGAGCTGTTGTCCTTGCTGGGCACTTTCTGGTATAGAAACATCATATTGTGGTTGGCTGAATATTGGAGCTTGGTCACTTACATCCTCAACCATAATGGAAAAAATAGTGCTAACATTAGCACCCCCACTGCTGCCAAGTTCAGTAGCCTAGAATGAAAATGTAGCAATTAAATGACAGTTATTATAAATTAAGCTGAAAGTACTGTAATGCATTGTGAACTGCATTGCATGGTTATCCTCCACTGACTTTACTACAAAATACTGCACAGTATAATATACTATTATATTGTATTATATTATTTGTATCCGACACATAGTAATCATTTTATGTCTGTTGGGTATTGTTTGTATGACACACAAGTGTAGCCTATGCAATGCTGTGTATGCCAATATAAGGGAGTGTAAAATATGTATAGTCATGTAGAACTTTGCATTGTATAACTTTTCTATTTCGAACAGAATAATAATAACTGAAAAAAAAAAAATTGAACAATATATTTACCATGACTGTGAGTTGTACAATGCCAGAGAAGCCATCCATCTCCCTATCAATAACGCTGTTTACTGTTACATTGCCAGTAGCAGGATTGATAAAGAAAAAACCTGCTTCATTACCACCGACTATGCTATAACCAATTACATTTGGTACACCAGTATCTTGGTCAATCGCACTTACTGTTGTCACAATTGTACCCTAAAAATAGGAAGCATTAGAAAATTGAAGAATTTGGTTCAAAACTAAAAATCTTTGAATTTGAAGATCATTAAGACATTGTGAGGTTATACACAAGCTAATTTTGATAGCTACACCTTGAATTACACATGGAGAAACAATCAAACAAATTCTGCATCAAGGTATTCTATAAAATATTGAAATCAATACTCATTCTTTCATGTACTTACAATTGGAGCATTTTCTTGTACAGTTGAAGTATATGGTGTATTCACAAAAATAGGAAGCGAGTCTTGAACATCCTCAACCTCTAATATGAAGTCAGTGGTGTTTTCAAGACGTGGTGATCCTAAGTCCTATATTAATATAAACAACTGAAACACTAGTTGGTTCATCCAGATAAGTATTCACTAAAGAGACCTTACTTCTAATTAGCATGGTATATGTATTTCCCTGTATAATTGTAATATTATGCAAAAATATAGAACTTAGAATAATATCAAACCAATTCATACAAACTATGCAGCAGTTCTATGACACTATAATGACCAATGAATGACTTGCAATCAACTTGTCCAACTAAAGTAATAAACCATACTTAATTTGAGGAATCACAACTTACAAAAGCTTGAATTGTGAACTGGTACATTTTGGTGACCTCATGGTTCAGTAGTTGTTTAAGGAGAACTTTGCCTGAAGTCAGGTTAACTGAAATAATAGATGTATTCTGGAAAAAAGAAAATAAGAGAAAAATAATTTTGAATGATCTTAACTCGACACGAAGGGGCAAATGCTTGCATAGCATTAAAACTCAAATGAGAGTATATCATAATATTCTCTACTAGATATTTTATTTATTTTTAATTTTTACATTTTTATTTCATGTCTTCCAACACCAATAACAGGATGAATAAATACTTTTAATATTACATCAATAGTTAAGAAGTACAATCAAAACATAATCAGTTATTTACAATACACTAAAATCAGAGTAAAACAACAGAGTAAATCTAATTTAAAATTTTTAAAAAACATTATTAAATATCCAAAACATTGTTTCTGATAAGAACACACAAATGTGTTACCTCAAGGAGTTGGTATTCAGCACCTTGAATCCCTGTGTCGGGATCTGTGGTTGAGATAGTTGTGATTAGTGTGTCAATGGGTGCATCCTCAGGCACTTGAAATCTGTATGGTGTGTTTACAAACTGAGGAGCATTGTCGTTCACATCTGTGACTAGAATAATGGAAGGGTATTCAACCTACAAAATAAAAAATAAACATATTAATGCACAAAATATTCATATAGGTCACCTTAATTTATGATTTCAATAGGATCACATTAATAACTAAAAGTAATAATATTAATGTATACATTTATACAGTGCTTTTGCCAAAGGGGCTTGAAAAATAAGAAGGGGAAGAAAGATTATTATGGGAAAAAATGTGATTTTATCACAATTCTTCAACAATTCTTTTACATGGTTGAGAATATTCTTTGAAGATAGGAAGTCATCAATAGTACTTTGTTTATCACCTCTTACCCAAGTCATTTTACCTTTACAAAAAATGGTGTGATTTAAGATTGAAAGTTTGAGTCCTTACTAAATTCTAATAGTCTATTACCATTTGTGTTTAAAATAGGGTCACCATTGTAAAGATAGGTTGGCTATTCGATGTGTAAGCGTGTGTGTACAAATTAAAGACATGTGAGTTTAAATTCCAACATAAACTTTATTGATTGCTTCAGCTATTGCTTACAGACAGGGATCGGAGAGCGGGAAGCGAGAGATTCTGTTGCTATGGACTTGCATTATAGAATTATATAGAGGGTGCCATTGCACATTTAATATGCATTGGATGATTGTTCTACCATATCATTACAACCATTGGGTACTGCGTTGCCTATTATAGCAAAGATACTAGAAATACAAGATAGAGCACTCGCATTGTAAAAATGAGGCGGAAGTCGTGCCCAACGTAGGCGGCGCTCTTCTACTTAACCATGCAAGTTTTCTATACTTCGTGCCCTTCTGTTGCTAAGTATATCCAGACGCAAAAGGCGCCCTTCCTTTTCCAATAATGGAGGAAAACTTTTTCACTAAGAGTGCGTCCGGCCATACGATTCTGCGCTGTATTGTTGTTTTATTCTTTACTGATTCATGATTATGCTTTAATTGTTTTGTGTTTTATTTGGATAATAGCAACGATTTCTACCGCCACCAAGGAGGTTATGTATTCACTGATGTCACTGTCTGGGTGTCTATTCCAGTTTGTTTTTATATCTAGTAAATAAAAAGTGAATTGATAATAAAATACGCAACGACTTGGTAACGAAAGTTTGGAAGACGTTTTTTTAGATCCAGCTGTAGGGGGCGTCCCATTGTTTGCATTCCCACCATGCATTTCGGTGGAACACTTTTTTTGTGTGGAGAACTCTAGCTTGTATTTCTAGTATCTTTGATTATAGCATTAAGTCGCCCATTATCAAAATTAGCGGGTCCTCTTCTTTGTTAAATATATTTTCAATTTGAATAATTTCAGATAACAAATGATTATACAATTCATCTGTCATTTCACTGTCAACGCCTGTATTAATTCAGAAAACACCTATATTATAATTCACACACAGAGTCAATAACAACCGTTGTCAAAGAACAATGTAAATTTCAAAGAAAATGTCTTTTGTTTGAAAAACAAGACATAAAAAACCAGAACCTTGCAGGCGTCAACGTTCCTATGCATGATACACGACTTTTAGAAGTATATATACGTGTATATATATATATATATATATATATAGATAAAAAGGCAAAATACTGGAAAACAACAATGCTGTGGGAAACAATGGCAGGATCTCAGTAGAGATACAAAAATGATAAGCAACAGCTAAAAAGTAAACGTAAGTAAACAGCCAGAAATAGAACCAGAGCTTTCGGACAACACTAGTCCTTCCTCAGTGGCGA